TTTGGTCGGGAACTTCAGTAGCCAGTGGATCTGTTAAGATGGATCTTATGAAGAGTTGTCTGAAAATGTGTCAGAGTTTGTGAAAGTGTTATCTGACAGGATGGATGATATTCACCATCAAGTGCGTTCAAACTTGAAAACGTCTGCTGATTCGATGAAGTTAACTTATGATAAGAGATCTACTGAAGTCAGCTTTGTACCAGGAGATAAGGTGTGGTTGTATAATCCCAGGAAGACCAAAGGGAAGTCTCCTAAGTTGTTTCTACATGGGAAAGCCCATATGACATAGTGGATCGTCTCTCAGACGTGACTTTCCAGATAAAATGTGGTCGGCGAGATAAGCCAAAAGTGGTGCATGCCAACAGGCTTTGGCATTATCACGGTCCAGGACATTTCAGTTGGAACGAAGTGAACAACAGAACAAATGACGCTGCTGAAGACGTGCCACCTGAAGAAGCCACTGTCAAAGAAGCAACTCTACTCAGTTTTGAGAAGGGAAACAGTGAACCCCTTGATGAAGTTACTACCACTGATGTGACTGTTACTGATGATAGGACATTTCCTGATGAAGCAGATGAACCCCACATGTAGCAGAAGTCAACGAGACGGAGGCCAGTGCGGAAGAAGATACGTCCCGTAAAATTAAGAGACTTTGTTGAATTGTAATTTTGTGTTTGTAATTCTGTACATTTAATTAAGTTATTGTTAATTGTTTATTGGTTTAATGTAAGTGGCTATTGTTCGGGACGAACAATACTAAGGAAGGGGCAGTGTTACGACAGCGGAAGTCACGTGACTCTAATAACACGTCATTGACTTGTAGAAATATCCTGTCCCTTCCTAAATGGTCTAGCGTTTACTAGATATGCTGTTGTCTTGTATATATAAGACGGTCAAGTTTTATGTTGAGTCGAGCACGTGAGACGTTCGTTGTGAATTATAGGTTTTGTTATAGCGCGACTGTGGAAATTAAGTGTATTGCAAAGTTGTATTCAGAAAGAATAAACGAGTTTTATTTAAGAAAGGACTTGTGTCGCTAAAGTTTCATCGGAAAGAATTTTTACGGAAAATCACTAACGAACGGAGACGTAACAATATTCACCAATTACTTCTTTTGTGAGAAAAATATCCCTTGGCTCATCTCTGGATACGTCATAAGGATTATTGGCGTATGATAAAAACTGTGTAAACTTTAATCGTTTAGTTCTGAAGAAAATTGCTCACAAATTTGCGAGGAAAAACTATGACAGGCTGAGCAAGAGACGCGAATATGAACACATTATAACTCCGAGAATATATTTTGTGTTGCCCTGGGGACTTACATTAAAAAATATGTTTATTGGCTTGTGAGTGTAGTGTGGATAAAATTTCGAAATTTTCATGGTTTTATACATGACAAAACTTGACTTTAAGGGTTTGTGAAATGTTGAGGAAACAACTTCTTTGATAAATATATGAGAAAAAAAATATGTTTATTGATAAATCAATAACAAATCAAAAACTACACAAATATTTTAAGGAAGTGCGCAGAGAATGACTGACGAAAGCTGTTAACTACGACAAAGGAAGTTATTTGGCAGCCTTTGCTGTAGACTACGAAACTGTGAGAAGGTGATGCTATAATTTAGTGTGTGAACTTGCATGTACGTTTATTCACATTTTTAATGACTCATTCAATACTTCTTATTATGACGTCGAAATTCTTATTTTTCCCAGAGTTGGATAATATTTACTATATATTTGTTTTAACAGTACAGAGTATAACGCCACTAAGTGCGAAAGCGTTGTTACCAACACTCGTAGAAAAAGGTGTCACGTGACAACACACTGCCAATCAACTGTGTTATTTGTCATGCAGCAGAAACAAATCTAGGGGACGGTTAAATAATTTCAATGAAATATTTATGTAGCTAAATAACTTTTATATATTTATCAATACTTTCAAGAAATATAGTCAAGTAGACGAACCCTACATTTAAAATTTCGATTCTGCGCTATCGTAGAACTATCATAAACAATGTATGTTTGACGCGTCATCTAACTTAGCAAATGTGCCCAGTGCAATCAAAGTTCATGCTATCCAATCAGTTTGTGAAGTTTACAAGGTCGTTTTCGTACGCCCGTAGATTCAGAGTTTCAGTGTCAACTTTCCAAGCCTCAGTGGAGGATAAATAATGACAGTTTATCTGTATGTGTAAAGTCACTTAACTTCGAAGTTGTCGATATGTATTGTGCAACTAAGCAAAGAAAATCTGGAAAACATAGAAGTTTAAAATTATTCTCTCGATATTTATCAGGTAAGCGACGAAAGACCTCGCTGTCTACTATTGGTTCAGAACAATCTACTGCAAATAAAAAAATCCAAGAAACTACAAAACACAAACGTAAACGTTCGTTAAAATCGTATCTTGGATTTGGAAATCTCCGCAAACAGAAAACTACTGATTTTGAAGACACCGGATACCTTATTGGAGAAACGAGTGCACCATATACAAAAGACGGAAATAAATGTAAGGATTTCTCGAAACCAAATAATACGGGCGAAAGTAATAATAAACCTGCTAAGAAAAAGGTATTTTTCTATATTTTCATCTTAATCATACTTTCTATTTAAGACTTATTTAGTAATTTTGAAAGATAAAGAGACAATGTGTTAGATTGTTGAAATGTGCATCATTATGAGAGCGCTAACAATTTAACACTACGAAATAGTTTTGTAACCAAAAATTATTATACAGAATTGATTAATGTTACCTAAAACTGTGACAACTTTTTTAATTCCACGGGTAACAACGAAGTTCTAGACTGATCCTGTCTTCTAGTCTACCATGTAGTAGACAACCAATACAAATATAAGAGACTGGAACAAATGTTTTATCATTAGCCTGATTCAAAAGGTAAGTGACGTACGTTTTACATTTACTTTCTTCAAGCTCAACTGGCAAACTAACATCCGTGAATAATTCTACATTTTCAAGCGTTACATCTGAAAAAGTGAAACAGTAAAATTCTATAACTTCGTTTCTATGTCAACAACATCGAGACGTGTTTCTTAAAAAGTACTCGTATTGTGATAAATAAATTTGATATTAATATCTCACGAGGAACGCTATTATCTTACTGGCTCACTTTAAGTTTTCGTCCAAAGTGTCTTGTTAAAGGTTAATTAAGGTTTAGCAAATAATATTGATAAGCATTTATTGACTAGAAACCGTGTCGAAGAGGGTTTAAAATACTATTACTCGTTTAAATCTTGCTTTAGTACACTATGTAAGATATGTTGTATCAGACATATTTAACAGGTAGATAAATATGAACATAATTTCCCTTTTTAAATAAAACTCATCCAACTATACGAAATACAGTAACCTATGGAAAAATATTTGTTTATTTTCAGATATTCACTTAAAGCTAAACAGCACCCACATCCATCTTTTGGGGCGCTCCAATAAAATGCCAGGCTTTGACTGTCACTCTTATAACGCGCTCACGGTTACAAATTTTGGAGCGTGATTTTGCGGCAACGGGACGCAAACCATGGTCCCTCGGAAACATAGACCGGCACGCTATCCACTAGGCCTCGCCTGTCCCATGTGATAAAACGAAACTACGAAATAAATCAGTAATTCAAGAGATATATAGGTTTTACCTATGCAGACTCATAGTTCTGTTATTAAGTTATAGCCAGTGATGGAAATGGGGATACACGCTGTGTACCTAGTTCTCAGTTTGCACCCCCCCCCCACTGGTTATTAACCCTATCGTCGCGGGTCAAAAGCCAAAATTCAAATATTAATTTTAGTAATATGCATTAGTTAATTTCTTAATCTAATAAAAGTAAATATTATATTATATTATTATTTATATTTGCTTTTCTATATTTATCACCCCACTGCTTCTGCTAAGCGTGTACCTAGTTTCTAAGTCCCATTTCCTTTCTTGGTTATAGCCAAGACTGTACATATATTCAAATCACTTCCGTGACTTTTCCTATAATTAATTTAAAACACAGTGGAAAGTTTTTATAATCATGGTCAGTTTAGTTTAAGAACTGATTTGAACTTTCACATTAACGATGCGTTCGATGATAAAAAACAACAGTTAAGTAGTTAGACCTATAAAAGTAGTTTAACATGAAGAATTATATCATGTTTGTTGATCAGAAGTCAAACACTAGCATATAGTATTTGTATCAGCTAATCAAAACTGGAGTACATGAATTCGTTCAATGTAAATGTATCTCGTATATGATAACAAGTAAACATAAGATGGTTGCGAAATGTTTTTACCAGATGAAAGACAAGCAGTTTTAACACTTCATAGATAAGTAGTGGAAAACACATGCCCTGCCATTAGCAGAATTTACTTGCTATTTTAATTTATTCGATTTATAGCTTACCAGTGTAAACTTTACAGCAGAACAACGTGTATACTTTTGTGTTTTGTTGGCGTGTAGCGTCTCTTTGGCGGCATTTAAACTGGCGATTTTTTAAAAGACATAACTTCACTACCGTTACTGTCATAACTTTATAAGTTTGACCGGTGAAAGTGCTTGTGTTATTCAAGTCCACTGATATCCGACAGGCTAATTAAAAAATATCCGCAAAACGCAACTTCTAGTAATATGTGCAGAGAATAAAAGAAACACGATCAACAAAAGCAAGAAACTGATGCGCACGTACAAGTGAACAAATAAAATAATTGTACAAGTCTTCGCACCTAATAGCCGGCTCACAATTCTCAGTTGTGACTTTAACTGGCTGATGAGGTTTCAAAAATACCTTCTTTAAAACGTAAAAATGTCCCCACCAGACAAAGACGAGAAGGATTCTAACTAACATGTCCCCACCAGACAAAGACGAGAAGGATTCTAATTAACATGTCCCCACCAGACAAAGACGAGAAGGATTCCAATTAGCATGTCCCCACCAGACAAAGATGAGAAGGATTCTAATTAACATGTCCCCCCAGACAAAGACGAGAAGGATTCTAATTAGCATGTCCCCACCAGACAAAGACGAGAAGGATTCTAATTAACCGCCAAAATACATAACAAAACGTTAAAAGTGCGGTATACCAAAATCTAACGCTGCAGCTCCCCAATGGCTGAGCGGTAAGCCTGTTGGCTTATAACGCTAAAAACCGGGTTTCGATACCTGTGGTGGGCACAGCACAGATAGCCTATTGTGTTACTTTGTGCTTAACGACAAACAAACAAAACCGGCACTGCACAAGTCACCAACTATGTCAAGTAATATTCCTAGAGAAGGAATTCCCTACTTCATACCAATTAGTAAAAGTATGTGAAGCACTCCTTGAGATAAGCTAACCACTCCCCAGAGAGATCAGACACGGAGTGATACGAACTATTAGCCATTGGCGTATGCAAATTTATCTGAGTACAATCTTTAGACATTATGTTAATAAGAATATTATATTTAAAGAAGGAGGCACTTTGTTCAAATTCATAAAAAACAAAACACAAGAACAACAACAATGCATCAGTATAATGATGCACAAAGGATTAAAGAATAATTAAAAACTGTTTTGGCAGGCTATGCTGTTCATTCCCAAGTAACTGAGTAATACGTAGAGAAGGTAGTATCTTAGTCACAATCTTTGATGTGTAATAATATTAGCAGAACTTAGTAAACTGTTCTCAGGTTACTATGTATAGATATATAGCTGTGATCATAATATTTTGTACGTTCAAGTTTAAACCGGTCCAGAGCGGTCAAAATCCACTAACTAATTTGAAAAGAAAAAAACGACTTCCTAATAATGTTAAGCTCAGATCCCTTTTTCATTATTGAGTGTGTTTTCTCTAGTTTTGAGTATTTCTATCGGTTCTTTTTGATTGTATTTATGGAAAAAATTTTGGTCCAGCAATGATTTTAATTAATCGAAATTAATTTTATGGATAGTTATGGAAGGGTAAGTTTGTTTGTTTGTTTGTTATTAATAATGCACAAAGCTACACAAGGGCTATCTGTGCTCTGCCCACCACGGGTATCGAAACCCGGTTTCTAGCGTTGTAAGTCCGCTGACATACCACTGTACCACTGGGGGGCTGGAAGGGTAAAATTCGTAATTATTTCAGTCACTACACGAAGGCTACAACGCTAAAAATCGAGTTTCGACACCCGTGGTGGCCAGAGCACAGATAGCCTATTTTTAAGCTTTGCGCTTAACAACAAACAAACACACAAAAACCGTGCCCAAGAGCCCCCCTCCACCAGTGGCACAGCGGTATACCTGCTGACTTACAACCCTAGAAACCGGGTTTCGATATCCGTGGTGAGCAGAGCACAGGTGTAGCTTTTTGCTTAACTTCAAAGCAAAATTTCCTTTCCGTGCCCAAGATAAGTGGAATCATATATGTTTATACTTACTTGGACTATGTCTTGGAAAACATGTGCGTAAACAAATTCAGAAACTGCATGAGAATGTGGAGTTGTAAGAAACATGAAAACAAGTGAAGAGAGTTAAAGGAATGAGACGAAAACACGTAAAACAAAATATAATTATGTGTTCTTTAACGCAACTAACAAAAGGCGAAATCTTCATACCTTCTAAACATAATCATGCCAAAATAAAACATATGCAAAAGATTTTCTCAATTCAAATTTACAAATACAAGCAAAATGAATTCAACTAATAAAAATAAAATTATAGACCAAATTCAATATAAATACAAATTCTAAATCAAATAAAATTTAACTCACTTCAAGTATACATCCAGAACAAATTCAATAAATAATAGTAATACTTAACCCCCCAAAAGGCAAAAATAAAAACGTGAATTAAGAAATTAAGTGAACAGAGCTTACTAAAATGAAATAAAAAATCAAAATCTACAAGTGCCTATGAAATTCAACAAAAACAAACAAACAAGATCTTTTATTGTGTGTTTTTACAAAAAGAACAAATAGAAAGCACGATTATACAGGAAATTGGTTATCTTTGACCCAGTTGTTTTCGGTATCACGGTGAAACTATTCTCGTACTCAGGAACCTTCTTACTGCTTTAGGAAACAGTGACTGCACGATATCACACAGAGCGTCAGAATAATGGATATATCAGAAACATATGTTGAAATATAGAAACAAATGTAGAGAGAGAGAGAGAACTTCACGGAAATATTTCTTATTATTTTTTCTTGTTACTCAAGGGTCTAAGCCTTACAGTAAATATGGAAGTAGGGCAACAATGATAACCTACACTTCACCCTGATGTATCAAATGATTCCAAACTTACTTTTCTAAACCCCTATCTCTTATATACCAAAATAAGCTAAAGTGGCAGCGATTAAAAGCTATATTACACAATTTGTATTCATTTAAATATACATATGAAAACGTATCGTTACTTCTGTAGAAAGTAGCTGGCAAACGTTAATGAAAGTTGTTCACTGCAATTTGTTAATACACTAACGATATTATGTTGGTCTTCTTCTTTATAAAGCTAGCTCTTTGTACGATGAAATTTGAGGGAGCCTTGTGAAATACAAAAAAAGTAAATTCATCAAAAATTAAAGGCTTTAGTACAAAATAAATAACTTTCTAGATGCTTCTAGCCATAATATATATTATATGTGAGTTTAATAATTTGTCATTTAAGCATTTTAGCTTCTCAAAATAAGATTAAGCTGGTTTGATTATATTTAAAATAAACTAAGCTTTTCACTGGATTTGTGGTAGTTCAGAATTTAAAAATGTTGGATACATTTTTCAAGGAAATATCTAGGATGTTTGTTTTCTTTTAGCATAAACTTTCATAATTGGCTAGCTGTGACCGAAACTAGAATTCTAGCGTTATAAGCCCCGAAGCTTACCGGGGGACTAACTTGGACGAACGGTTCCGAAGACTTATATTGTAGAGAATACTAATATACGAACTGCAGAATGCTTTTTTGGTGTCTCAAAATATTATTGCAAATTTTGTATATTTTGTAAATTTGTTGTGCAAGACTGTTTAGTATTTTTGAAGAACAATATTTCAACTGTATATAGTTTACACATGTTTTAGTTGCACATTATCCTATAAATTGATATATATATACAAAGTGATAGTGCCACGATGATGCAAACTGCCAAGAGTGTTTGTTTTGGCTATATATATATGCGCATATAGTGTTCCGTAAACACTTTTAGGGAGAGACACGGGACAATTAACAAAGCCCCCCAGTGGCACAGCTGTATGTCTGCGGACTTACAACGCTAGAATCCGGGTTTCGATACCCGTGGTGGGCAGAGTACAGATAGCCCATTGTGTAGCTTTGTACTTAATTACAAACAAATTAACAAAATTACTGAACGATCCTGTATTTTTACATAATCAGAATATTTAAGTGCAAAATAGAGTAAACAAATTAAATGACTTAATAAAGTTCGGTTTACAGAAATGTTCTACAAAATAAAAATTCACTCCCTGAGTTTTCGGTAAATGGTACTTTCAAAAGATTGCTGTTGTTGTTGTTTTAGTGCAAAGTTACACAATGGGCTATCTGCTCACCATGAGGAGTCGTATCCCGAATTCTAGCATTGTAAGTCCGTAACCTTACTGCTGATCACCAGAGGGCACTTTGAAAGGAACAAGCCTTTATAGGAGAACGTATTTTTTTTTTTGCTTTATTTCTTTTCTTTGTTCGTTCTATTTACTTCACGATGCTTTAAGAACATATGACTTAAAATATATAAATAAATCACAATTAAAACAAACTGTTAGTCTGAGAGCTGTCGAAAGTTTTACTATGGCCTGTTCAGGTGACACTTATGTGTAATTAAGGGGATTATTTAGGTGACATGTATGTGTAATTAAGGTGATTATTTAGGTGACATGTATGTGTAATTAAGGTGATTACTTAGGTGGCATGTATGTGTAATTAAGGTGATTATTTAGGTGACATGTATGTGTAATTAAGGTGATTATTTAGGTGACATGTATGTGTAATTAAGGTGATTATTTAGGTGACATGTATGTGTAATTAAGGTGATTATTTAGGTGACATGTATGTGTAATTAAGGTGATTATTTAGGTGACATGTATGTGTAATTAAGGTGAATTTTTACTTACAGATGCTATTAATTTCTCTCTTCTCATTTTTATTTTATTTAAGAAACTTTCAAAAAGAATCAGGCGAACGGTGATGACCGCATGTCGCTATATTGGAGTTGGCCTGGCAAACATGGCTCCCACCGTTGGAACACCAATGGCTGCTTCTGTGGAGAATCCGTTCTGGTACTCGGAAAATTATTGTTACCCATGTACACATCCTTCAAGACTTAACCAATATGGATCAGTTAACTATACTGGAAACCCGTGGGGTAGAAATCGACCAATTAGTGTGTGGTAGGACAGTTCGGAACTACAAAAGTCACTGAGATGGAAACTGTAAATTTAATAATTACAAATAAATCAAGGTGTGGAGGGTGCTATTTTCATGAAAGTTGTATGTGTAAATATATATATATATGATTATTTGAAACTGTTTTGTACTGGTCTTGCTGAGAATTGGTAACATTTTGATTGTTACTATTTTCAAGAAGATATTTTGCAAATTATTGTAAATTTTCGTTGCTTTCAGAAGAAGAAAAAATTCATTTATTATTAGAATACCACTCAAAGTGAAATATAAGCCTCAATAAAGGAAAATGGTTTTATGTAGAAATTTGTTTGTAGTCAATCAGGTTCTTATTTTACTACATTAATAATTGTGAAATTATATAAAACCACGTTAATTTTAATATGAAGTACATCACGTCTAGCCAACTTGGCACCTTGACCAACTTAATATTTAGGTTGAATTTACTTAAGATGCCGATGTTTAAAAGTGCCAAGTTAAGGGATAAAATACTGTAAGAATGAACTCCAGTTGGTAGTACGACTAAATAAAAAAACCACTAAGAGATTAAAATCAAATAAACGCAAGTTGAATGTGTTATGCATTTTGATATATACAATAAAATCAGCTAAAAGTAGTTTGTTTGTATTTAAGCACAAAGCTACACAATGGGTTATCTGTGCTCTGCCCGCAGACATATCACTGTACTACTCGGGGGGGGGGGGCGTTAAAAGTAGTTCATACAGCATAGGCTTCACAACTTTTGTATCAAACGAGACGTTATTTTAGAAGAGTTTCTTAAGTAAAAATGAAAACTTAATTTGAGTTATCCTGATTCACTTGAAGTTCTGTAAAGAGATTTTAATCTGAAAATCTTCTAATACTGACTTTTAACAAAATAAACTGGGCCAGATTTACACAAAATCTATTCATTTGTAGAAGTTACGAAGGGACAAAACTTCAAAACCCAATCATATAATTTTAAACGAAAAAAAAAGTCAGTATTGTGCTGTTTTAAGTCGTTATTATTTCTAAAATCATATCTATACTTTCCAATAGTTCTGTATATCAAAGTTAACTATTTTTTTATCACTCCAGTTTGAACCACAAGCTGTTATTGAACTGTTATAAACATGACCATTGGACTTGTTGCCTCTGTAGTTGTGAATTGGTTTTGACTATCACCCAGCTAGCTAGCCTAGGGAAGTTACCGACCCGACAACCATGTGGGAAAGTAAAACTCTAGCAAGCTATGTTCATGTACATGTGACTGGTCAATTATCTTTGGTTAAGCTGAGTGCAGTTTTCTTTTTGGACTTTATTGTTAATTCCAACCATGTTAAGTGTGTTAATTTTAGTTCACTTTTATTCAATTCAGGTTTACTTCAAATATATCCCACTCTTTCTTTGTGTTTGGTGTTCGTACCACCATCTGTAAACTTCCCTTTTACACGCGTAGAAAATATCATTTTTCAAACCTTATCTGTGTGTCTTCCTTTCTATACAAGTTCTACCCAACAAATTCCCCGAATCTTTTATTTATTCTTTATTTGAAATACTTCTCGTTACAAGAGGGCTGACGATAAGAAACCATTTATAATTACGCAATGTATATTTGTCGACAGATATTTGTCACGTAGCGCTGCATACAATATGCTGTCTTTAATAGAAACTTCCTTTCCTCTAAAGTATATCATTTTCATACAATTCTAACAAACTAGGAAAACGTATCACGTAATCTCTACTCTATATGCGTACAAAGCGCGTGACTGATTTTCTACTTAGAAATGCTCGTGAAATAACTCTCGGTGGGTGGATTTTAAATGTATATTTTTCCTGTAGCTAATCACCATAACTACTGCAGATTAATTCATGATGACGAGGAACCCACTTGAAATAAATATATGTAGTAGGTAGAGTCTGCTGACATAGGTATTAAAAACTTTTATTGAAAACAAAAACAAGTTACAACGTTTCGACCTTCTTAGGTTAACCTGATGATGATAGATAATAGATAGGTAAGTAGATAGGTGGATAGATAATAGATAAGTAAATAGATCGGTGGATAGATAGGTAGGTGGATAGATAATAGGTAGGTAGATAGGTGGATATATAATAGATAGGTAGGTGGATAGATAATAGATAGGTAGGTGGATATATAATAGATAGGTAGATGGATAGATAATAGATAGGTAGGTAAATAGGTGGATAGATAATAGATAGGTAGGTAAATAGGTGGATAGATAATAGATAGGTAGGTAAATCGGTGGATAAATAATAGATAGGTAGGTAGACAATAGATAAGTAGGTAGATAGATAGATAGATAATAGATAGGTAGATAGGTGTATGGATAGATATATAGTACCAAAAATGAGAATTATTAATATGTTTAGTTTTCTTATTTTGATACAAAATATTGAAGAACAAAAAAGAGACATTAATTTGAGCTGACTGCTCTCTTTGTAGAAACTTCCATCACAATATCCCAACCAATTAAAGGTTCCGAAGGAAATACTTTACAAATTATCTAGATTGCAGCCATCTGTAATGTTTGGAACGATATTTTTACGTGACAGAAGCATTATCCATATTGCAGCCATCTGTAATGTTTGGAACGATATTTTTACATGACAGAAGCATTATCCAGATTGCAGCCATCTGTAATGTTTGGAACGATATTTTTACATGACAGAAGCATTATCCATATTGCAGCCATCTGTAATGTTTGGAACGATATTTTTGCATGACAGAAGCATTATCCAGATAGCAGCCATCTGTAATGTTTGGAACGATATTTTTACATGACAGAAGCATTATCCAGATAGCAGCCATCTGTAATGTTTGGAACGATATTTTTACATGACAGAAGCATTATCCAGATTGCAGCCATCTGTAATGTCTGGAACGACATTTTCACGTGAAGTAAGCAATTAGGGGTTTCTCTTTTATAAATTTGTGCAAATTACATAAAAATATAAAAGCTATTTCTCTAAATTTTGCGAATCATAGTAATTGAAAATATAAAGCATGGAGTGATTCAGTAGCGATCAAAATTTTTATTTCAAAAGCTATTAATGTCAGGTTAAAGAAGCTTAAAGTGTTTTCTGATGTATCTGAAAATGGTTTATAAATTCCGGCCGAAATTTGTAAAAAAACCAACAGTCAAGTTGCGTGATACAAGTGAAGATTAAGTGGAAATATATTCGTAGGTACATAAACACACACACACACAAGCAAAATTTTGAGTTGAAAATAATAAATGGATTATTTTAAGGAATTTTTATATGTCCTATACTAACTTAATGGTGCATTGTATTTACTTGTTTGTTTGTTTGAAGTTAAGCATAAAACTACACAATGGACTATCTGTGCTCTGCTCGTCACGGGTATCGAAACTCGGTCTTTAGCGTTGTAAGTCCGCAGTCATACCAGTGTGCCACTACGGGGCCGTTGTGTTTATATCTGGAAGTTTATATATTGTTCGGGACTTCGTATTTGTATTTTTATATTTATGGTAAAATCAATAAGATTATCTGCTGTCATCCCTAATTTTGAGCTACTGACCAGAGGAAAGGCAGCTAGTCAGCACTATAAGGGATTAACTTTCACTCTTATAATGCACTTGCAGCTTAAAGTCTAGGAAATATTTTGTGGTATCGTAAGAATTTGAGCTCGGCTCGGCAGCTCCAAGAACCAGAGCTCTACTATAGGGCCAACTACGCCTTATTAAAGAATCAGTAAAGTGATGAATAAAAACTTGTAGAGCTAACTAATTGTCTCTTATTACAACCTGGTACTTAGGTCCTATCCAATGATATATAATTCTGTTGGTTTTTTTTTGCGGTGATTTATAGTTGGTTATATCATATACTTGCACCCGTTTGTATTACCATCGAGTTTTTCAAGATTTTCAGTTTGTTCTAATGAGTCTGGCATGGCCTGGTGGTTTGGTGCTCGACTCGCAATATATATGAGTCGCGGGTTCGAATCTCCGAACATGCTCATCCTGTCAGCCGTGGGAGCGTTATAATGGACGATCAATCCAACTATTCATGGGTAAAAGAGTAGCTCAAGAGTTGGAGACAGGTGGTGTTGATTAGCTGCCTTCCCTCTAGTCTATCACTGCTGAATTATGGATGGCTAGCGCAGACAACCCTCGTGTAGCTTTGCGCAAAATTCAAAACAAACCAAACCAATTGTTCTAGTGTGTGTGTGTGTGTGTTATTTTCCACAGAGCACGTCGGTCACGAAAGTCGTGAAGCTCCATTCCCATTGGTTCGCCTGTTCTGAATGAGTAAAGTTAATTTAAGGTAACTTCTTATCTGCCTGTAGGAAAGACAGCTGTAAGGTTTCACCTATTGTATGAAATTAGACAGCACTTTTCTTCATTCGTATGTCAGGTGATATCTTAAGGTTATACCCTCTCTTATTCTCTATTGGGAATTACCATTCACGTGGGTAACGCTAGTCGCCCTGGGAAACATTTTCTCAGACTCGAGCAGATCTTCAAGACAAAAGTAAATATGTGTTTGTTTGTTGTGAAGCTACACAGTGGGCTATATTTGCTCTGCTCACCGCGGGTAAAAAAATCCAACTTATAGCATTATAAACCCTCAGGTTTACCGCTGATCCACTGGGGAGGGGGAGGTGCAAGTAAAGATTTACAAATTCACAAAGAACATATTTTCACCTGAACATACTACATTAGAATTACGTCAGTTTAGTGTTTGTGTTAGGCAAATGGGTGATTAATGTTTTGTTTTCTTATTTAACAGCAGTTTTATTAAGCCAACATAGATTAAGTTATTTTTTTCATTTCTGATGTAAAATATAGTTTTAGTATTTTGGTGGTTTTTTTGTACATTGTAAACTGTCTGTGACAAAAGTAAGTTTAAGAAAATGATATAATATTTATACTATTATATAAAAATTTTGTGACTTACACTTAAAAATACTCATATTTCGCTTTTGGCTTTTCTTATATATATTTAAATTAAGGCGTTTTTTTTCTTCTCATAACATATTTTAGTGAATAATACAAACGAGGGTGGAGAGGAAAGAAGACATAAGTGTTACTTCCTATGACGAGAATAATGAAATGAATCGGGAATAGTCGCTATTCTGTTTATTTTTTAATTAAGATACTGTTTGAATTCTTTGCGTGTGCGGAAGCGACAAGTCTGATTCAAACGTTTCTCCAAGGGTAAAGTTTATTGTTACACATAATTACTTCAGACACACATACAAGTCAAGATATATTATATTACAATCTGATATGTAGTTAATATTCAATTAACAATTGTTTTTTGTGTCATCAAAGATTAAGTTTCAAT